TTTTCCATCTTTACATTAATGTCGTACGAATGTCGACCGAGGTTACGCTTACGCAGTACCGTAGAATTAATCCGTTGAGGGCTGTCTATTACCTCATTCTGAGGTATTCCCAGTATAATACACCTGTTGGCAACACCTTTAATACGTAAGGTCACTCTCCTTCCGTACTGGCCTTTTAAAGCTGCAGCGAGGTGGAACGTCATGTCTTAGCATATGAGCTACTCTGGTGCATACTTTGGGCTCCGTGGATACAGTTGCGCGGGCGTGGCGGGTCAAAGTTAATGGACAGAAGTCGACCCTGACACGAATATGCGGTCATTCCGCGAAAAAAGTACGTACGGAATCCCCACGTTTCAAGCTTTTGATTGGATCTATCCAGACGCAAATCGGATAAGTACTGGCTAATCAACTGTGATTCTTGTCCTAATGTCCTTCGTTTTTGTGAACGGAGGAAGTATTCATGGACTACGATCTCCCTCCAAGCCCAGTACTACTACCGAGGGATCGTCTGTACTCAAGATTCCGGGTAGGCCGCGCAGTGTTGGCATGTATGTACGTAGTGTGCCCCCCCCCCCCCCCCTGTACACTGAGTCAGTGTCACTGTCTTTAAACTTAACGCAGCATCAACTGACTTGACTGTACTATCAGTTAGATGATACAGTACTCTCAGTTAGCTAGTTTCTAGTGAATTTAACTGCCAGGTAAACGCCCCACACTGCACTAACTACATGACGCGATCTTACGCACAACTGGTGCTGCTATTCGAATAAGCTACATATTGGACATATCATTCCATACTGCAGGTATTGCAGAATCACCCTGCTGGTTTTCTCGGCGGTTACACGGTTATTCCTGCGTCAGGCGAGGCAGCGGCACATGCACGGCGGGTTCAGGCAGGATATTTTTCGAAGTACAGGCGGAGTCGTTCCCGCTGCGTGTGTCTACAAAATGGTAAGATAAAACCTTAGTGTGGGCATACGGCAAACGCTGTTCATATTGCAAAGTTTGGGAGGCTTGAGTTTGACTAGTGTTGGCCACACTGTCTATTCAACAACACTTTTACGAAACGGGCACTAAGTGCTAGTCGACGGTGGTGGTGACGACGACATTAAGAATACTTCCGAGAACTTGAACTCCTCACCTCTAGAACATAACCCATATCGATACGTGGGGAGATTGCCAATCCTTAAATTATATATTTCTGAAAAATTATATTATTTAAAGTAGGAGCATTTCCTTCAAACCATAACACCTTAGGCCACGGTACTGGTGGTTGCACCCGCTGACCCCGCGGAAGAAAAACAATGTAATGGAGAGTGCAACAAAACCATACGAGAAAATACACTTCCCGAATAGTGAACAGATTCTTCGAAGGCTTTCAAGCACTAATTGTAGCAAGCGGGTGGCGTTCTTCCGCTCTTCTAGAAGAAACTACGAGTTTCTCTAGACAAAGTAACATTTTATGTGCTTTTGTCAGCGTTCTTTAAGAGTAGAATCAGAGAAGCAATTAATGAGGGACGACTACATCCTGCTATGGTGTAGACTTCGCAAGTAGAAGACAAGATACGTTGTCTTCTACTTGCGAAGTCTACACCATACGGTGTCATTATCGCTCGCGTTCACATTGAAACAATTTTAAAGGCGGATCATAGTTTCATGGCACTTACCACCCTAACACAACTAATATTTAGACTCATATTGTACATTGAATTGAGCGGCCAAGCATTTATTGCATTCAACAATATCCCTCAACCTTACAATCACAATACGATTTCCCCACCTCTACGCAACTACCGAGCGTCCCTGCTTCTTGGGCGCCCCGCTCGGGTTTGCAGGCCTCCTAAAATTATGGTTTGAAGGAAATGCTCCTACTTTAAATAATATAATTTTTCAGAAATATATAATTTAAGGATTGATCTTCTCATAGTTTACTCAAGATAGACGGAACTGTTTCGCTAACCGAGGCAATGATTGGTTCCGATTATTTAACCTAGTTACGTTCATTGAAAATAAGTGGTAGCCAATAACCGCTAATGTACAGACAGCCAGTGTGATAGATACGTATCTGGAACAACTAATGCGTGGACGGTGGTTTTGAGATCGGATTAGCGTCTTATACTGTTTTGATCCTCTCATTCACGATGCCACCCGCGTTCTCTTAGCAGGGTATGCAAGCTTGGCTGAGTTGTATTCCTTCTGGAAAGCGTTCTATGGAGCATATCACTAAGTGGAAGCGTCTTCGCTTGATTACAGTACCGTGACCCCTAAAAATACACTGGGCTGGGCTATTTTTGTTACGTTTTGCTCCCTTTTACAAGAATAATTATTGTGGTTTTCATCCATTTTGGCAAAGCAGAGGCCTCCGATCTCGATATAGGAGCCCGATATAGCAAACGGTCCCGATTTGGCGAACATACAAGGTTAAAAATGATATGTTATTAGGATTTGTGAAGTGAATGGAGCACAGCTTTAGAGCGCAACTGTCACTTTTGCCTCTTTTCAACGGCAAAACGGAGTGGCTTGCGTTTAACCAGCATACATTCATCGTTCAGGTTATTTGTACATTGGCAGCTTCTCGATGACCTACAGCGCTGACTTTCGGTGGCGTTCTGTAGCTCTCACGCACGCCTACAACATCTCAGCCGAACTGTTCGGGCCAAAGCAGCGAACACCTCGGCGCTGGTACGCTCTTTTCATGAAAAAGGGCGTTGTCAATGAGGACCACCCTCGCCAGACCACTGAACGATGGCCCCCTGAAGCTCTATCCGCTGTAGAAACCTACGTTAACGCACACCCGACTTTTACATTGAAGGGCTCCGCGAGTTTATTATCAAGAACTATCCAGATATTACGACCATCGCGACAGCAACAATTTGCAGAGTCCTCAACTTTGATCTTAACCTCAGCCGAAAAGTTCTATCGAAGGCAGCTCGAGAAGCGGTGCCGGCAGAAAACGAAAAAATAGGGAGCAACTTTGAACGGTAGAAGCTTACCGTTCAAAGTTGCTCCCTATTTTTTCGTTTGCTGAGCAACTCGTTTTTTTGACGAGACAGCGAAAGATGGGCGTCACGCTGAGCGGCGATATGGTTGGTCGAAGAGAAACATTCGTGCAGTCGTCAAGCTTCCATTTCGCCGAGGCAAAACACTCTTAATTTTGGCTGCACTTGATGTACAAGGTTTTTTTGCGTGGGAGTCGACTGAGGGGACGTTCACAAGAGAGAGGTTTCACGCTGCATTTGTGAAGAACATCATCCCACATCTGAACTCGTGGCCACTACCTCGTTCCATTGTTATAATGGATAATGCCAAGACCCATGCGTATCCTGAGTTGCAAGACGCAATTCACCAGATTGCCCACAACTAAATCCTATAGAACCTTGCTTTTGGCTCCTAAAGCGTTGGTTACAGAAGCATGCCAATCTAGTCTTTCGTTTGTATCCGGAACGAGTCTTAAATGTTGCTATGCGTGCGCGTACACGTCACGAGCATAAAGGATGCTTTGGGACCTTCCAGCACTGTTACATGGAAACCGGGATACGACAGCAATCGTTCGATGAGTTAATGCACAAGTGGTTCTATGACGTAACGATATATCGGTTGAATGTACTGTGGTTTTCTGCTTGCAAGTGGTTTGCATCTGTAGCTATCACATCGGTTTGTCTTCGGCGTGGGCATCATCGTCCATCCCGCCGTTAGTCGGTTGTGCAGACGTAAACTAGTGGTATATACCCCGTGAAAAAACGTCGTGATCCGGTAAACCTATTGCTCGGCGAAGCGACAAAATATCCACCTCCGTAGGCACCCACATGCCACCCAGTCTTACCTTAACTAAAGCTGTTTGAGCTACGCCTTGTGCAGCATTCTCCTGTAGATGAAGCAACTCGCGCTGCCGATTGTCTGTTATGTGGTATTATCAGCAGGAACCTCAAACGGAGAGGCCTCCGGTCTCCTAGCATTTACGACGTCGAGGTGCTGCGCTGTAATTTCCCCAAACTGAATAGAATTTGCAGTCTCGTAAGCCACTCGCTGCAAGCGTGCCTGCTCAATTCGACGGGCTGTGGCGCGGTGAAATTGCTCTGGTTGAGCAGCTCGCTGAACATACAGAAAAGCTTCAAACCGAAAATCACCGAGTTGTCGTAAGTAGTCAACGGTCAGCAGCTTCCAGCGGTATTGCAGCGTAGACAGAAAATTTGCTGTCGTCAACTCAACGTACTTTGCTTGAGGTTCGTTCTTGGTTTGCTTGATACATCTTCAGGTAGAGCAAGCGGCTTTTTTAGTGCCTCTGGTCCAGCTATTAGAGCTTCATATCTTGCGATGCACTTTTCCTTAAACACCGCGTATCCTTCGCCAATACCAAAGTCGACATTACTTCGCCATCCGGCACGTGCCCGCCCTAAAGGTTCTCCAACCCGTATGATCAAGATTGCAGCTCCCCTTGACGGTAGTGGCGGAGGTCCGTCGCCAGGAGAACGAAAGGCATCGACAGCCCAAGGTGCTGTATCCGCTGTCTCCACACCTTGGTTAAATGCTGCAATGGGCGTGTTATCCATAGTAACAGAGTGGAGGAGCGAGAGGCACGACGTACCAACAACGCAAATGCTGAAGAAAATTAGACTTTTATAGGGTTTTGTGGCCGTACTAGACGCACATGGAAACAAGATTTGTTAGTGGATTGAATTATCAGAATAGAAGTCTCTCTTACGTTCTATAGCGAGAACGTAGCTGTCGGTTGTTTGTCCTCAGTGTACCCCAGAAATAGCAACTGGGCAAGATGCCAGAGCCCACCACGTGTTGCGTGTGAGGAACACGGTGGTCACTCTGTACACTCCCGTTCATATTAATGCATTCGTGGACGCAATAGGACGCCCGTGAGTTCGTATCCACTTACATGAGTCTATACAGTACACAACAAGCAACATTGCATTAACATTCATTAGAGGAATCAACGTCAACACGGTCCACCTACCTGCTTCTCCATTGTAGACAACCACGTATGCGAGTTCACGGTCTTCTTCCTGGGACAGTAGGCTGCTCATGATCTGTACAATAGGCAAAATTACAGTTAGCAGGGAGCAATAGGCATCTTCATTAAACACCACAGTACCTGTTCTCGAGAGATTCACGGCCCATCAACGCAGCGTCTCTCTTAACAGCACGTTTATTAGTCTGCTCCGTTGGGCTTTCCAATTCGCCGGCTTGTTACTTGTCTTGTTCTTCGCGTCTTGTTCCCGCTATCCCCCACCCGGTTGTTCTTGGCCGTGCGCTGAGGAGTCCACCCTCATGAGCACAATTATTCCAATGCTTTTGTATGAACGCTCCTATTTAGGCCCCGAGATAGGTGCACCAAGCCCTATCGGATGCCCGGTTTGCAAATCGGGCCCCTCCGATATAAAGACCCAAAACGGGCGGCAAAAAAAGCTGAAACCCACAATAATATTTGTAACTGATGAGGATAGAAGGAAAGAAAATCGCACAGACAAATCCGTGAAAAACACAGATTGTGAAAAAGGTGCTTTTAATAGAGGGCGGTAGTGAGCGGGTGAGAAACGTTGCCGAAGCAAACCCGAGCGGGGTGCCCGCGAAGCAGGGCCGCTCGGTATTTGCGTAGGCGGGCCCAGCGATGAACTCACCAGCGAACGAACCCGTAACACTCTCCAGAACATGTTTTTCGTCAGCGGGGGTCTGGGGGTGGAACCCCCAGTATGCTTTGAATAGTAGCCCTTATCCGGTATACCGATATTTCTGGGTAATTCAACCGTAGGTTCTGCGGATTTGCTGATTCTGACTGTGCTATTCTAGCGCTTTCATGAGGATACATGTACCGGTATTGACTTGTACATACGGTGAAAAACGCCACCTCTTGGCCGAAAGTCCCATTGTAAAAATTCGCCCAAAGTTGTGAACATTTTCTAATTGGCTGGATGATAAGACCAGCAAAATTTGCATCTAAAAGGACCTGTCCAGTCCTGTAACCTAGGCATGTTAGGATGAAGATTAATCTGATTGGCTGTTGAAGTGGATTTGACATGGCAGTGTTTTGAGTTGAGGTCGTGGATCAGGTCTCATATGTTTCCTATCCGATTGTGCATTGCAGACGCGAAGGAGGACTGGAACCTAATTGGCTGCCTTCAATATGACGTGCAGGAGGTGCCCTAGCTCATATGCCTCAACGTGGTTTGGATAAAAGCACTGGAGGGAGTTGCTAAGAGACGGAATGCCCTGATCTTGGGCTACCGGCATCGTACTGGTGCCACCGTCACGTGGGTCATCCCTTCACCACGCCGTTCATTGTGTAATTGACCCCCAGCTACGCTCAATTCGTGCTGGTGCCGATGAGTATAATGCGTCCAAGCTTCGCCCTAACACTCCTCGTGGTCGTCTTCGTGGCATGTCATAGCGTCTCCGCGGAACCTGCTGCCGTCACCCAGATTGACCGCCTGGACACCTCTGTCAGGATTCTCAATGGTGTCTCAAGTCGCCGCTATCTCAAGGGACGACAGACAACCACTAGTACTGACGACGAAGAAAGGTTATTGAGCGGCGTATTACAGAAAATGCCAGGTCTCAACAAAATCAAGGCTGCGTTCCAGAAGAACCCAAGCTTCGCCAAGAATCTGGAGAAGTTTCGACTGAAGCGTCAGCGTTTGGATGAATTCTTCAAAGAGAACCCAGTTATTAAGAAGGAGATCATCGTCGCAACGGTGCTTTTGACGCTCATATTCAGTGTGCCGGTTGTAGTCAATGCATTTTATCCGGCGTAGAGAAAACAAGAGCAGGTCTAATAAGTATAAAACTCCCTCATCGTGTGTTGGATCTGGAAATTCCTTATCTACCTTCCAGTCCAAGACCAGTGCAGTCGCGTGGTTTCATCGCTGGAAACTTGGCAATAACATTAGTCCCCTCCCTCACCACGCCACGGCTCTCAAAGGAATACGTCGGCTCCAACCCTTCCTCGACTCAATACCGAATCGCCCCGGCAATTCTCGGCGTTATCCACAGCCAACTCGACTTCAACTACACGCAGGACCGTGTCTTATGGGGCCTACGGTCATGGATATCTTCTTTTTATTAAGAAAGTGTGAATACCTCTACAAAGGCAACCACTTCAAGCTCGCAATTCGAAGGTCAGATGTAGCATTTATTGACGAGAATGGAATTCACTGTATGCTGAAAGATCGTACTCAACGGGTTTTAATCAATTTCCGAGAAGACAAGAACGACCAAAGCGGAATCGGTGTAACACGCTCGCTCACATCGTCGTCTGTCTCGTGGTACTACCCAGTTTGAGCTATATGGTATTTAGTTGCTCACCATAGGACTGTGAGCAACGACGCCATAAACGGCTATGCAAGATACAGTCTGGATAATAGTTTCAAGCTCACGATGTCTCCAAAACGCTTAAAAGAGCCGCAAGTCTTGCTAGCCAAGACCCAGACCATTTTTCGATACTCTCGCTAAGGATTGGAGGCGCTACGGGCGCTTTTAGCTACTAGAGTAGACAGCCTGGCCACCAAACGCTTCGGGAGACGGCGCTCGTCTGCGTTCGAGAGGTATATGCGTACATGCATATGGGAGAGGAAGTCACTACAGCAATGGGACGCCAAATGGTTCACTCGGGTCTTAGCGCGTATTCGCATCGTCACCGTCTCCAAGGGCAGCAACCGGGCAGGAGGCAGTTTCAGTATAGCAAGCATCGTGCCCCAGAACTAAGTGAAATGCCACTTCGTGATTACTAGTATAGTTTATCGAGTTGTTGAGTACGGTTCTAGCTGGGCGCAGTACTGCTGATACCGGAAGCTCAATGGCACGATCACACCACTAAGATTGACGTAAAGAGGTTCTCGCTTACATGAATTATAAAAGGTAATAGGATCACTATAGGCTAGACGTAAGGAGGTACTGGCTTACTAGAATTAAAGAGTACAGGAATTACAAAAAGCTAGTTTCAAGTCTACATAGCAAACCAGGTTACTTGTGCCTCAAAAGATCTAGAAAAATAGTTTCAAGGCTACTCGTGAAATACTGAAGTGTTTGAGCTGCTCGAACCTCAATTACGATGACAGCCGTAGATCTGGGGTCTAAAAGAAATTAACTTTTTACATTAAAGCTTAACTCGTAAAATCGTTAAAAAGAAGTTTTTTCTTGTTTTTACAAAGTAAATCCAAAAATAGTGAAATCTCAAATAGCAAAATGTCATGGTTGAGTGATGGTTGATAGAGGATCAGACGACATTCGCGCCTGGCAGCTCTTTAGGTAAATTCAAATGTTTATGGTGGTCACGATGATATTATGGTTCCTACGATGCTAATCGCTACAGGGTTTGAATTCATGATTGTCAACAAAACTGTGTCAAATAGCGATATTTTCAATCATGTTACTAACTACTAAAAGAAAGCCACAAACGTATTTGCAGCGCACATTAAAGCTAAACGAGTTCTCACTTTCAATAGACATGCGGATGTCCTTCGCCTGGCAAGCCGAGTTATCCTCATAGGTTATGGCCACGAGGATATAACAGCACAATGCGATGGCAGCAGTAACTGCAACAGAATCAAGCTACCGAGCGTCGTGGTGAATCACATTGGGTGGTCGGATAAATCTGAAGACACTCGACATTTTGAGCGCTAGTTAGTAAATGAAGGCGCACAACAGTGCCAGGATTATTTGCACACTGGAAGCCTGTTTATAGAATATAACCCGTAAGTTTCCATACATTGCATTCAGTCATTCAACACTAAGGTACATGCATTACTGACGATTATAGAATTGTGTGATCAGTCGATTATGCAAGGCGTGATGAGCTCGGTATCCACCCTGCAACCATTTCCACTATTTTACAATGTTTCGACTGCCTTTCTTACATCCCCCCAGATAATTTCGTCCTAAAGTGCTGTACGTGCTGGGGGCGACGGAGTTTAATCCTTGTAAAGGTGCGCTATAGAGAATCGCCTGAGATCTAATATAATGTTAGCAATATTATTTGTTAGTAGAAACAAGCGACATATGAATTAGTTGTATTTCGGAAGTACTAAAGTACGTCAACAAAGCAGGGGGGAAGCCATTCTTCGTAACAAGAGTGTACACTATGTCACTCTTTCCAAGGAATATTGTATGTAATACCAATCATATTTTTCATAATTGTTTTTGAAGGCATCATAGTACGATATCATCTTCAAGATGATTTTGGATAGCATCACACAGGCCGTCTTAGCTGGTTTCCCGAGCAAAGCGTAGCGGAAACTCACTCACTTCTAAATTGTTTGAGTAATATATCCGTATAA